TGTATGTATGTATGTATGTATTATTGAGTAGTTAAACGTGTTGGGAGCCGTTTTTTCTTGCGTGCATATATGCATTTCATGACATATATAATAATAAGAAGAAGAAGGCAGAAATGAATTGAAAATAAAGGAAGTAGTTAAAATATTATCCAATCTCACCATTTATTTATTATAAAATATTAGATAGATACATAATTAATTAAGAGATGGATGAGGTTATAATGCCTCTTCAAATGATGTGGCAGTTTTAGAGTTGTTCAAAAAATTAGATATGTGGGAAACTAATTTGATAGAAGATAAGCATCTCCATGTGAGATGTATGACTCATATACTTAATCTAATTATGCAAGATGGTTTGAAAGAAATTAGTCCTTCTATCAAAGGGTGAGACAAATGGTGAAATATGTTAGATCATCTTCTTCAAGGATAAGAAATTTCTTGAAATGTGTTGAAATACAAAAGATAGAATGTGATAAGATGTTGTCTTTAGATGTGCCTACTAGGTGGAATTCCACCTATTTGATGTTAGACACAACAGAAAAGTGTGAGAAGGCTTTTAGAGGTTTGATCTTTATGATGGTAGTTTTAATTCTTTTCTTGCTACTAATGTTTGTGAAGATGGAAGTATCGCAGGGTCAAAATAATATGAAGATTGGGCTAATGTGAGGAATGTCACAAAGTTTCTTGAAAAATTTTATGAACTCACTTTGAAAGTTTCAGGTTCACGATATGTTACTTGTAATGTTCATTTTGAAGATATATGTGAACTTGATGCTTATTTGAAATTATGTATAGCAAGTGATGACCTTGATTTGAGTAAAATGACTTTGGAAATGAAAGAAAAATTCAAGAAATATTGGGGTACTCCTGAAAGAATGAACAAAATAATTTTTATTGCTTATGTTTTGAATTCTCACAATAAATTTGTGTATGTTAGTTTTGCTCTTGAAGAATTATTTGGGAAACAGGAAATGTAGTGAATACGAAAGTAGAGTCTTACTTGAGGGATTTGTTTGCGATATATGTAAGTAAGTATGGAAAAGGTTCCAAAAGTCAACCATCTTCATCTGACTCATCTGATTCTTCTGCTTGTGGTATTTCACAGAATGTGTCCAAAAATTCTTTGAGAACTAAGTTGCACATGAAAAAACAAAATAATGATTCTGGAAGTTTAGGTGTTAAATCCGAGTTGGATAAATATCTTCTTGAAGTCCAAGAACCTGAATCTGAGATTTTGATATTTTGAGTTGGTGGAAAGTTAATTCTCCTAGATTTTCTGTACTTTTACAGTTGGCTCGAGATGTATTGGTTATTCCTATATCGAGTGTGGCATCGGAGTGTGCATTTAGCACTGGTGGTCGAATTCTAGATCCCTTTAGAAGTTCATTGACTCTCAAATGTGTGCAATGTCTTATTTGTGTCCAAGATTGGCTTAGACAAGAAACCAAGCCTATTTGTGTTGAAGAAAGTTTGGAGTTTCTTGAAAAAATTGAACTTGGTAAGATTTTTTATTTTTTATTTATTTTTGAAAAAAAATAAAATACTTATTGTGTTCTATCTTGTATGACATGTTTCTTTTTCTTAATTATAGAGATGACAAATAGTGGAAGAAACTCTTCCATTGTTGATCTATGATTGACTTGCAAGCGGTGAGTTTAATACATCATTTATTTAATCATATCATTTTTTAATCTTAAAAGTAGTATTCTAAGTTTCTAATATTTGATTTTATCTTAAAAGTTCCAAGGGTCAAGGCAATGAAGAAATAATTTTGTTGACATGGAAGAAAGTCAAGAAACTCATTATTGTTGTTTGTTATTGTTGACATTTGAATTGAAAGTAATCTCATGGAAGAAGATAAGAAGTTTAAAATACATTGTTTGTTGCTTATTATTGTTTTATTATGAGCTCATGAAAGACTTTAATGTTACTTGTTAGATTGTTATTATGTTGTATTTGTGAAGACATTAACTACAAATCTACAATGCAAGTTTTGTTTTAGTGTCATTGTTAATTAAAAACAGTGTGTTTTAGTGATATTGTGAATTTAAAATTTGTGGTGTTAATGCCTAATGACATATTGACATATTGATATTTGGTAGTAAATTAGTAATGCACTTTTTTGATGTATTGTCTATTTTTACTTTTTAGTCCATTAAATTGAAAAATCAAACTAATTAAATTTTAGCTTACAACCCTGAAATACTACTACTAATAATGATAGTAATAATAATAATAAAACACTACTACGACAAGAATCATCAACCACATACATAATAAGAAAGAATAGACAAACAAAAATTTGGATACAACCCTGAAATAACTAGATAATAGAAATTTGGATATTCATTAAACTATATATAGTGAATATTCTGATACTATATTGCCTAATTCTCGTTTCTAGGTACATCATCTATGACAAACATGCCTATTGAAACCCTTCGTGGAGGCGTATATCGGTGCTCAATCCTTTTATAACGAGGCGTATATAAATGCTAAACTGCAATGTTAAGAAATATATGATGACCTTTTTCCTTTATTTCTTTTTGTGTTAATACTAGAACTAGAATAGATCAATTGATGTTCATAACAAATTCTAACACCTCACTCATAATGAAATTGATCATAATTTAAAGTATTAAATCATGCTAAAATAAGTTAAGTAAGTATTAGTTACATGACTAAATATTAAAAGAAAAGAAAATTAGATCATGTATTTTAATTGTCTAAATCTATGTAAAACTAAAAAATAAATATTCGATATTATTGTCATTCTTAGTGTTGAATTGATTTGCTTTTTGCATTATTATTAATTTGATTTTTATTTAAACTTTATTATAATTACCAACATGTATATAAATATGCATTTTTTAATATCAACCTAAAAATTTGATATAATAAATTTAATTTTTACTATGTCAAAAAGTATTAAGAAAAAGTGTCACAATCTAAAATTTCAAATTATGATAGGCATTTACTAACATCATGCCAACAGCTAAGCCGAACTTATACACAATCTAAATTTCAAATTATAA